GATGAGATATGTCGTGTTTTTTGGTCATCTATATTCTACGATACAATGACATGGGCGTGTTACCGTTCAGATTTGAGGATATAGCTGATAGGAGGAAATCAGCAAATGAACTCTGCAACGATTTTCCAACCTAGAGCGTCAACCTGAGAAGGGTTGTAGGCGTACTGCTGTGAGTCCTACAATTCTTCAAAGGGCAGCGCATCAATGAGCAGTGCAATGTGCTCGGTGTGTTATTTTTTACATATGTTCATATTGTATATACTGAATTGATATCATCTGTCATCTATCTGTTGGTAATTCTGTTTGTGTCCGGACGACTTACACTTGGATCATCAACCTGAGAAGGAATGTAGGCGTACTGCTGTAAGTCCTACAGTTCTTCAAGGGTAGTTTGTCGTGTCAGAATCCACAACATTTGATGTGTTGATTGTACATATGTTTGTGTTTAATGATTGTAAAAAGATTAGAGCCTTTTTTGCCGGGGAGTTTCAATGCAGTTGAAGATTGAACGATCAATTTACGGTTGTTTGCTCAAAACCAACTTCCCCAATTTTCGCGGAGGCATCAATACGACAGTCATCGTCTCATCGGTCGCTGTTCAGAAAGAAGTCAGTGGCAAACCGTCAGAAGTAATATTGTGATTTATTATTGTAATATTTGTTTACAGACCTTAGTGGTAACATTTTTTATATGTTGGTGTTACAATAAAGAATTCCCGAGTGGCCAATCGGTGTTTTGGTTTTTGCGTCCGTTGTTACTAAGCGTTTCTGAGGAACTTCAAGGAACGGCGTGAGCCCGAGCGTAGCAAGAGCTGGGCATTGGCGGTTTACGTGAGGTGGCTGACATCAGTGGAGAAAACAAATTTTAGAGAACTCAGAGAAAGTGTGCGTCCCGTCTGGCGAAGCGTTATTACCTTCGCCATACATTAGTTGCTAACCACCTATCAAGTTTCCCTAGCGTCTGTAGTACGTACATTGTGGTGTGCGTTACATTGAAAGTCTCTATACAAACTTTCACAAAGAGCGGTTAAGGCATCTGCATAAAATCTTTTGAGGTATCCCAAGATACAGCTTAAAGTACCTGTCAAATTAGGAAGTTGCTGCCCTGGTCAGCATACCACAACATCAATTAGCAGTAGTTTTCAAGTAGGCGAACTGCAAGACTGTTATGATTTTACACATTCGAAGTGCCAAGCATCCTCCTCTGTCATCTGGCCTGCTACGCCGTGTTGACCAGCGCCAGTAGGCACGAAACTTAGGTCTAGAGTGCCTTGATGGTAGCCTCCAGCTAACTAATAGTATATGCACCTCAGACAGTAGCACGCTGTGATTCACGTATGGTTTCACCCGCAGCATGAGTGCAGACACTCCATATGACCCCAACCAAATATTTCTGCAATCGTTTCACGTGGTACAACAGTCTATCTCATCGGGAAACGACCAAGGCATTTTACACAAATTTTTGAAACATGTGTCAAGGGTCTCTTATCTTTCTAATATGCTTTGTTGTTGACTGTTGGTTAGTCAACTTCCATGCAGTGGGCAGATATCGCTTGAGTTTAGCTGCACTATAAGCTGTCCACCGACTACTCATTATAGCATTCGCACTGTTAACAAAATTTCATAAAAAAACAAGGCGCTTAAGCAAATGGTTTGTGCCAAGTAGTCCTCTGACTACCCTGAAATATCAGAAAAGCACTTCATTCTTCTTCCAGGCCCACACAAAAACCTCTTTGCTGTTAGTCTGTCGCGTTATCAGCTGCTTTCACAGTCTATGAGAGGGCTTACGTTTAACCAGTGAGTAATCCAGTATTAACTTAACCATCTACAGGATAGCTGGTCTTAAATGGTGTGAGGGAATTAAACAGATCTAGGTCCTTATTTCCTATGAACCGTTACTAACTAGAGTAATTTATTGCTTCGTGGAAGTCAAAATGAGAATGACATGTTGGACAGCTAAATTGAATATAACCATCCACTGTACTTAAGTAACGCTTCACAATAAGCACTGTACTTGTGCAGAACAATACACTGATATTTAAAGATGAATACTGCTAAACTTTTGTGTGTGCTTAATCAAGGGGTGGTCATATTCGAATGAATGTATTTAACACGACGTGCAGAAGGACTTAGGTGTTTAACCTGTTGTCCCTTTCTGAATCATAGGTTAGATGCTTGAGCATATTGGTCAAACTTTAAACTGTATCTGTCAAGCGAGGAATCGAAAGCAAACTTTTATCAAATATTTCTCTTTCCTTTTGAAGTGCAAAGTGCTGTGGCTGCAGATATGACACAATCACAACTCTCGATATACGACTTACAGATAACTCTGATTCATCTCTCCCGGAAGAACGGAGGTAATATTATTGGAGAACGGTGGCTAAATTATTTACACACTGTTTAAATCCTTGGATTTTTTCCAGAAGTTAGGTTCCAAACTCTTTCACTCAGAAAATTGGATCAGCTCGTCACGATCAGAGCAACAATTATATTTGAGGTTTCCTCCTGACAAAACTCCCAAATTTAATTTGTTTTCAGGTGATAGGCTTTACCCGTAAGTTTTATTTAATACTTTCAACTTGTTCAATGCCATAGCTAATATAAACCTTTGTAAACGTCGATTGAATGAAGTTGTGCCTGGTTTTCCGCGGTACTTTCGGTTGAGTCGGGAAAGGGATGATTGATACATTTTTTGATGATTCCTCAATGAAAAATGAGCTGAACAGCGATTTTTCTGCCAACTGCTACTCATCCGTCGATCTCCAATCCGATTTCTCACTTGATAATGCGGAAATATACCCTGAGATAACTAACAATGATTCCTACGGCGCCCTATTTTTAATGGACTCTGCGGATCTTCTGGACGTGAGGGAAGAAGTTATTGGTGAGGAATCATTTGTGACAAACTCTGAGCAAACACTATCTCCGGAAAGCTCTTCGAGGCCGTCTGAAACCTCCTTAGGTAGATATACACGAACAGCTGTTGGTCAGAAAGAGAAAGGTTTGTTCTTGCCTTTATATTCACAGCCAGTATAAAATCAGCTATTATTTAGTTTTTACCAATGGGTTTATTACTTCCAAGTATCATTTTCTAAGGGCTGGTTAACTAGTTTTCGACAAAAGTATACGTGTAGCCATATTTTATGCTAAGTTCAGTTATTGTGAACATGATGTAATCTAATTACAGCTCTTGTGTTGATTTACTATAAGTAGACAGCCGAATCCTTAATTGCCTATAAACCTGACACTAAAAAATGTGTTAATTGGACTAAACATTCTGATATTTACGAAGTAGTTAACGGGTTTTGTAGAGTTCTAAATTAGAAATTGGTCCCTTACTCCAATGCCTCCTGATGTGGACTACACATAAGCTTGCTAAGTGCCCATTGTGATTTGTCGTTCACACTGAGAAATGGGAAATGTTTCCAGAACCGTATTCATCACGTAGTTGGACAAATAATAGATATTTGCAACAGAAAACTGCACGCAATAGTTATGACCCAAAACATCTTTGGAACCATGTACTACACTTCAAAGCGAGTCACTAGTGCATGGATACAAAGACACAACTCTGTATTTCGAGTTACTGAGAATAATGTAGCTTATTATGTAATTCTTTGCTGAGCACAAATGCTGTTAATTATTAATACATGGAATAATGACAACTATAATGAATTTAAGTCATCAGTAATGCTTCCATTCAAAGAAAGAACCTCGGGCACCTTACGTATAATCCTTAACAATGCAGAATTAAAAGCGACGTTCAAACCCACTTAAAAACAAACAATGTCGGTTAAAAAATCCTGTGGAACCCATTAAACAGAATAATAATTTAGTGTATCTAACGCTATGCAATAGTTTTCAGGTCGAAGTGGTAGCATAGGGTCATCAAATTAGCAGAGCACAAAAACCAAGCAAAATCTAGATTAGTTGACCATACTATGAAAAGTTCCGAGTTACAACATCACATGCAGTTACACACAACCACTTAGTGAGATGGGATAAGGTGACAGTTTTAAAAACTAATATAATGATGAAGGGAGAGGTTGATAACGGAAGCTCCATTTATCGATTGAAGTGAAAATAGGTTTAACAGAAATGGATCAACACCTGTCCTGGAAATCTGCAAAATTCTACTACCCCTATGACGAATGGGAAGGAATAAAGAAAACTAAAACTGAAGTTGTCTAGTTACAGATGTGATTATTAACAATAAACTGTGTTCAAAACTTCATCCATTGAGTAATACTGTTTCACTGTGATGTATCTAATAAACATTGTGGAACTATCCCCTACACCAGTGCCAAAGTGTTTCGTATATGTTCGTATCACATGTCCAGTCCACCGATCCGGATGTCCCAAGATGACATAAGGGCAATCTACAACGCCTTCAGATACACACTGAGAGTTTATAATAACATAACAGTTTCCTCGAATGAAAGCAATTCTACGAAGACAGTTAGGGAGTTTCCATAAATTCTCATGTCGAAGAATGTACGTTTCACAGACGTTGGGCAAAGCTGTGGACACCAAAACTTTATAAACTGACCTCTGATAGCAAGACTAACGTCAAGAATGCACTGGGGGCTCCTCAAAATAGTGCTACCTTGGCTTTCACTATGCGACTGGGGATCTCATCCGTCACATGGCTGCCTAGATACACAAACTTATCCACTACTTCTGGACAGTTCACCTGCTTGGATAAACGCAAGTACAGGCTCGCGCAATATTGTGACAATACTTTCCACCTAGATGGAACAGAGCATATATGTTTATAGGCTAACCATCATATGATTAAGTGACACAGGTAGCCTGTTTCTCATCTCATAAGTGACACCTAGTTTTAGTTTTTTGAGGTGATGTGCTACCTTAAGCTGTTACCGAGTCATAAATGGTTTTATATTAATCATGTAATCGGGCCAATAGTAACGTAAGGTGGCGAAACTGGTCTCTGAGTTCGCAGGCTTAACTGACTGAATGTCACCATGATTCCGATTATGCTAAGAATCCTAAGTAGAATATTCCTTTATCTAGTGTTGGATTCCCTCCTATCTGCATTTTGATCACCACTTCCGTAAATGTTTCTTCTTTTCTCATGAATTTATGGATAAATTGTAGTGGTCAGTAACTCATTAGTAATATTTCTGTTGTTTTATCTCTTTCTGATGTACTGCTTATAGAAATTCAGTGTATATTCCGAAATTCAGATTTATTTATGGAATGAACAATAAAAATGCGTACTAGGCTGTAAAAATAGAAAGGATGGAAGGCTATCCATAAAAGCCATCGTATGCCAGCATTGTAATACTCCTTAACTTCTATATGAATGTGGGTAATATCATATGCATTCATGACGTAGTTATCTGGTTGTTATATTCATATGACTTCAACAACTTCTTGTCTCTTATTGCTTCATTGTTGCTTTTTAATTTTCACCGGTTTCTAGTGATGACCAATAGTTTTGTTCAAATAAAGTTGTGCAGACCGGTAAACTGCACTAGAAAATCTCAGTATATACATATGCACTGATTTTAATAGTCAGTCAACCCTTTACACACCAGAACATGGTCACATTCACTGTCTTATATTGCTCACACTTAAGATTGTTAGGTGATGCTACACGACTGGACTAAATCGACTCCTAGCTTAAAAATAGGTAGTGAACTGGCTGGTGGAGCGTGTTGACCAATGCACTTACCTGGAGAGTTGCACCAGCCAGCCCCAGTAGGCTGGTAGTTGACGAAATCTCAGCACAAACACAGAAGGCTCATTTAGTATTTGCCAACTCACAGCATCTCTGGCATAGTAGATGTGATTTCCGATTGGTTGTCGAAGGAAGAATGTTTGTGTCTACTGCTTAGCAGCAGTTCTCTCCGTTTTTTTTAATGGGTGTGAGCGAGAGATGGCCATTTAAAGTGGAAGACATGAGAATGTCTGGTTGTCTTTCTTTATAGGTATCTGCTTTCTATTCCCTGTGTTAGTTTGTACCTGTAAGAGGGTGAGGAATACTGAGTTTAGGATTCTGTCGAGTGTCAGGCAAGGAGGGAAATCAATCAATCAACGAGGTTGTGAAGTTACGCCGATTGAGTGTGAGATGGTTAGGACATGTGTTATGCATGCATCCCTATCTATCGCCCTCCTCGACAGGAAATGTTAGCTGACTGACATAGGATGGATCAGGCTGGAAAACAAAAAGTGGTGGTCAAGCCAAAACATGTCATCAATCAAAGAAGTTAAAGCCAGCCAGCCAAGTAAGGAGGTGTAGATTGGCTTCGTGGTTGGCGTCCTCGGGATGGTAAGAACCAATGAAAACAATTGCTGATATGGTTGGAAATCATCGTTGTTAGTTGGTTGCGTAGATGCATTCACTCTTTTTGATTTGTCAAATCCATCCAGTATGACTTTTGTTCTTCCATATTACTATTCCTTTTCCTGGACTCACACTTCTGTTTATTATCTCTTTTGATGAGTCTCTCTTCTCTTGGTTTTGTGCGCTACGAGGAGGGGGAGCGACAGCTCTAACTGCTGCACATGTTTGCAGAGTTCTATGTTGAAACCAGTCAGTTAGTCAGCTCACACTTACAACAGCCTTGCCCTTTAATAGCTTCATCTCTGCTGGATGTCTTCCATCATAACTTTTATTTCAGTCACCGTTGTACGCTGTCATATTTATTTCGCTTGACCTTGTGTCAACTCGTGACCAAATGGTCGTAACTAGTACTCACCAAAGTAGCATCAGTAGGACGCATCCAGCGATTTATCTACACACGGGCTGCGTTTCAAGATATTGGGTTGTAACTTTCCATATTACTGTTGCATGGGCTACTCTCAAAAGTATAAGTGATGATTACCTCTTATTATTATGCATTTCACTGTTTTAATTTCTACTTTTCTCTGATATACGCAGGTAATAAAGAACATGACAATCTACACGAGAGGGGGAAGCAAAATAAATGTGGTTGGAATGATGATTCATTTGATGAAATGACTGACAAGGCATATTTATGTAGTCCTGACAGCCCACCACCTATTTCAAGTGATATCAGAGTGGCCACAACACCTAGTATGGATGAAGTATTTTGTAAGGAACATGTGGACAGTCCTAATATTTGTGATGGTGATGATGATGTCAATCTGGAGAGACTTTCTGATCTGCATATTCCCCTTCCTCTATTCCACACTGAATCAAATTATTCAGACTCATCGCAGATGGATGCCCCGGATTCTGAAATTGATACATGTTGTATATTTTCATCAAATAACTGTGTTATTAGCCATTCGGAAAACTACATTCAGACTAAACGTTCTCTTGCATCCACTGAATCATCCCATTTAGATCTTAATGATGGTTCCGCGTCTAAAGTTACAGCAGTACAACCAATGTATTCACGATTTTCCACAAAAAATGGTGGATTTCTACAGCTATCATCTCATGCTAATCAACTTCTAACTACTGCAGTTCAGTCAGCTCAACCGCCTAAACCAACATCTAGTTGTCAGTCATTAAAGTCTAAGTATCGTCGTGGAGGCCAAATAACACTGAAGTCAGGTGCCTCGATTCTCCGTACAAAAAATTCGTTTAGTGATTCAAAAACTACAAATTTTAAACCAACACTTACTTCCGCACGTTTTACGCATTGTCGGTTTTTAACTGCTTCTCAATTGTCTGGATCAACACGAGAATCAACAGGTACTCTAACTTGGTTTCCAAAAGTAGCTTTGGTCAATTCTAATACCTCGTTCAATTTACGAAAACCAGCTATTGTTATCGCCTCATCATATCCTAACTATAGATCAGGTAAATTAATACTTAGGGGTAGTTAAAATAAAGTACATTCTCGTAGTTATATTTGCTGCCGTCTCCATACTGCCTTAGACTTCATCTTTTTACAACAATTGAATGTAGAATGCGACTAAATCACAGGAGTGTTAGGGTATTTTGTTCTAATTTCAACACAAGCACCACTCACAGAGATGCGAACGCATCCTCTTGATGAGTCTCAAACTGGACGAAACATGTATTGGATTATACTGTAGGTTATTGGGAAGCATTTAGCCAAACATCTTGCTTAATTTTCACTTTAGTCATTAAAATTGAGTGTGCATGAAAAGTAATCTTTGTAGGTGCAGATGTCATTGCAGAAGGCAGATATTTTTGTCTCCTCTGATGAAGTATTATATTCACCTTTATAGATTATTATTTTGAAATCAAGCCATTGTTTACGCTTTGCAGAACTCGAAGAGTTATAACGATGTACTGCCCAGTAATAACTTGCTCGAAAATGAATTTCCTGAAGTCCTATTGAAGAGTGATCGACGCGTTCCATCAAATAGAGTGAGGACAGTTGCTCACGGAGTGTTAGTTGTGTCATATGATGTCGAGTTTGTATGGGTTGGAAAGTATAAATTATTCTATTTCTGTTCAGCGGTAAGGTGACAATGATCGTGCTACCAAAGCTGACCCCAATCCAGTCGGAGGTTGTAGGTGTACTGTATTGAGGAACTCTAAGGTGCTTCATAGTTTTCAATCCTTATTTAACCTTTTAGCGATTTGTGTTAGAAAACAAGTGTAGAGCAATCTATAGAGAATGTTTTCCATGTGCTCGACTATGAATCGTACATAGGCGGTTGTCTAAACCTAATCAACTGGAGAGCTTGTCTCATTGCCTGAAATCCAGGTGTCCAAACTAGTAATCCACTCCAGATGATGATGACGATGATAAAAATTCCGTTGATACCAACAACATCCAGCACCAATCACCATCAACGGAAGGAATTTAAAAGAGGTTACTTCATTCATTCACTTATCTAGGGAGCATTGTCTCAACTACAGGCAGCCGGAACGGCGGACGAGGATGTCGAATCAAGAATCGGGAAGGCGAGAAACACATCATTCATCAACCTGAAACCAATCTGGGAATCTTCGTCACTCAGCGAGCACCGACAACAAAATTCGGTCGGATTTTCAATACAAACAATGTCAAGTCAGTCAGTTCTTCTATACGCATCGGATCAGAAACTTGGCGGGTGGGTCACAAAGAATATTTCCAACAGACTGGCTATTCCATACTTTTATCAACAACTAACTCTTCGCTCTATACTGAATGAAGATCAGATGACCGGACCGGAAAGAATCACCAACAAGAAACTATGGGAACAAACAAACAAAACAAGAACCAATCAATCGCCAACCAACAAATATGCAGGAGAAAGTGGAGATGGATTGGAAACTCTCTGAGGAGGCCTCTGAGTGACATCGCGCGCGCGTCAGACCATTGCTCGAGTGGAACCCGAAAGGGAAGCGAGTAGCGAGTGGGACGTCAGCGCGAGGATGACGTCGAGATCGTGTGAAGAGGAGTTGAAACAGTATGGACTAACCTGGATGTAGGTGAAAAGTACAGCAGAAGGAAGACAGAAGCAAGTGGAGACTTGCACTTGAAGCCCTATGTTCCACTGGGAACCCAAGGGAACAATAATAATTATGTCTGATACAAATACATATTTTTTGTCATAGTCTGCTTTTTGAGGATTGTGTTTATCATTTTGTAAGCGAACAGTATTCTGCATGAATTACTGGTTCTGAGTACCACAACTTTTTTACTAATCAACGTGCTTTGTATTCGGACCGAAAGCTTCTACCTTGACGTGGTGGTCGGGCTTGAACACCGCAATGATCCATTCAAGCTATACCGGCTGAGACTTATGTCTCTTGAGGTTCTACCATGCCAGGAAGGTTGTTTGGATAGCGGTTAAACAAAAAGCAGCTACCCAATCCAACACCATGATAAATACAAAATCACAAAATTTCATGCCGGATCGGCCGTGGCCCGGATTAACTACGACCGCGCTTCCTGCTGCCGTGTCACAGGGCAGGAGTGATAAGTATGCTACTGAGGCACACAAGACAACAAAGAACAAACAAAAACAGGCCGCGTGTGACCGGCCTCAAGCAGTTGTCCCTTGGGCTCTGCGGTCACGCAACCAACTTCCACGGTGTGGGCAGCCGGGAAGTAACAATCGCCCTCACAATCCGAAACGCTTTGTATTTTCCAGTAATACAATCCCTATCGTTCTATCTTATATTCATATTTGTCGTTCAGTGTTGCCATTAGGCAGATGAGGTTTTAATCTATCTGGACCAACAGCTTAATTGGACGACATAATGCAAAGTCGTAGTTAGTAGGATTCAATAGATAACAGAAACTAGAAGTCTGTAACGAAACTTTAATGTATCTCAGCAACTAAAATGAATATCTGTTCATTATGGAATGAGCTACATTTTTATGCAATTTGAGGTCAGCTGACTCTATAGACACCTTAAATAAACTGGCCATTTAGATGAATTTTAATTTTTTTTAAGTCACTCAACCACCACTTTACTGAATACTATGGTATAATTTGAATCATCTAGTGAGAGTTGATTGAATGTTTTTTTTTTCTGTAGTTTGTTTTGTAAAAGAAAATACTAATTTTGGTCATTTTCAATCACAAAAAATCCAACCATGTAGACACCTACCTGTATGCAAAAGACAATTTTTTAGGCTATTTATTTTTGTTTTTTTAAAGGCGTATATCTTTTTTCTAAAGCTCCTAAAAGAAGAAGTTTAAAAAATAAACGGAAGTGCAACCCAGTGGTCAACAAGAGTACTAGTATTTAATAGTTACACCCAACTCTGCATTGATCTCTCTCTCTCTCTCTCTCTCTCTCTCTCTCTCTTATATATATATATATATATATATATAATTGTTCCCTTGGGTTCCCAGTGGAACATAGGGCTTCAAGTGCAAGTCTCCACTTGCTTCTGTCTTCCTTCTGCTGTACTTTTCACCTACATCCAGGTTAGTCCATACTGTTTCAACTCCTCTTCACACGATCTCGACGTCATCCTCGCGCTGACGTCCCACTCGCTACTCGCTTCCCTTTCGGGTTCCACTCGAGCAATGGTCTGACGCGCGCGCGATGTCACTCAGAGGCCTCCTCAGAGAGTTTCCAATCCATCTCCACTTTCTCCTGCATATTTGTTGGTTGGCGATTGATTGGTTCTTGTTTTGTTTGTTTGTTCCCATAGTTTCTTGTTGGTGATTCTTTCCGGTCCGGTCATCTGATCTTCATTCAGTATAGAGCGAAGAGTTAGTTGTTGATAAAAGTATGGAATAGCCAGTCTGTTGGAAATATTCTTTGTGACCCACCCGCCAAGTTTCTGATCCGTATTGAAAATCCGACCGAATTTTATTGTTGATGCTGGGCTTCTCAGGATAATAAGTGTTATTTCTTTTTTTTATTGGCTTTAAACAAGATGATAATTAAACGCAAGCGCACAACTTTTATTCAACTTAATTTCGATATTAAAGAGTACTCTTTTTGGGGGTGTGTACTGTGACTGCCTAGGTGGAGTCAGCTATTCCAATCAAGATAGTCACGAATATCAACTCTGCTACTAACGGTATACAATGTCTAACTGATTCACCGAAGCATCATTTCATCATCTGTGAGCATACAATGAGATAGGTGGTAAGAAAAGGTGGTAGGTAGTCACACAGAAGAATAGTCCGGAAGGATAAATAACAAAACTGATCACGTTATATGTATACTGACCGAAGATAATATAGACGAGAGGTTCGACTATCGACCAAAGGGTGGGTGTACTGCTCATCAGTCCACTCTGTCCTCCTTTATGGCTGCTGGTGAGCCTGGCCATTGAGAGTGGAAGACATGTGAAGACTAGCTGTCTGTCTTTGATCATAGGTGCCTGTGTTCTATCTCCCATGTGAAGTGGTATAATAAGGTGAGAAATATTTAGGTTAGGCCTCAGTCGAGTGCTAGGTAGGTGGGAGGGGAAATCAATCGACGAGGCTGTGAAACAGTTACATCGACTGAGATGGTTAGGACCTGTGTTACGCATGCCTTCCTAGTCATCGCCTTCCTCGACGAGCAATGCTAGCTGACATAGTGTCAGGTTGGAAAAGAGCTAGCTGGTGGCGGTCAAACCAAAACATGGCACCACTCAATGAAATCCACAACAGTTAGTTCAAGCGACATAGGAAGGTGTAGACTTCCTGGTTGGGGTCCTCGGGACGGTAAAAATCAATGGTTGGAAACAATTGGTGATGGTCGGATGGTCGGGGGTGGGTGTCTTGCGCTGCGGGCTAGCCACCCCTCCGTACACCTCTTGAAATGTTCCCATATGACCGTGCGTCTTACATAGCCTCTCCTGAGGAAGTCCTACTCACTGCCTTCACGTGGCGGAGGTGTTTTTCACCGAAGTGAGAGGGCAAAAGCGGATGCCCGGCGCTCTTCACCGGGTTGACTGTCCATTGGATGACAGTCTAGGGGAGATGGCTAAACCCTGATTCCAAACCTCCAACGACTGGCGTATGAAGCTCACCAGAGTTCACCGGCAGACGTATGGACAAAGAGCTTATTGGATGCCCTGGATGTCTGGCCCCATTCAAAAAGGCGTATGAACCGGACTCCGGTCACCGGCTGTCAATGGATAGTGGACTCCTTACTCCACTCCTACTGCCTTGTAGGTCACACTTGGCTGTGTAAAGGTTAGAGCTGCACTCTCAAACAAAAGGCCGAGCGATGCTGGGGACATCACTCGTACCCAATTCCCATGAAACTTCATTAACTCTCTTACAAACATTCGAGATGTTCATGAAGCCGGTTCATCCTCCCGTAGGAGATAGCCGAAGTAAAGTAAGTAAGTAAGTATTGGTGATATGGCTCAAAATCGTTTTCAGTGGCTGGCTGGCGCAGATGCATCCACTCCTTGTGACTTATGATTTCCAATGAAACTATATTGTTCTTCGTTATTGCTCCTCCTTTGTCTCACACCTCTGCTTATTGTCTCTATTATGCTTTTCTTGTACTTTCTTCTCTTGCTTCGTGTGCTACCCGGAGTGTGGCGAGTTGAACTGGTGCACATATGTGCAAAGTTCTATGTCGAAAACAGACAGACAGACATACATTTTAAAATAAATAAAATTGACTGGTTGTTGTTAGTCAAGGTTAGGACATGGTAAGATTTTGATAGTTCCATTTTCTGACTTGCTTATCATAGTAATTTTTACATCGTATCTTTATTTAAATTACAACACCATATTTCTTTTCTGAGTTCGCTTTCTCTTTTCTTTTTTTTATTACGCTTAGATTCTATGATTTTATTGTTCGCCTTTCCTCATATCATTTCTCTTGAAGTGTTACTTAAACCACTGTTGTCTATTTATTGATAATGTGTGTCATGATTCTTTCTTCACAAATATGTTTGTTGGCTTCATTGAAGCACTATTGGGTGGGGGTGGGGGGATCAGTACAACATGGAATCCAAAAGCAAAACGATAGAATTGTTTGTGTGAGATGTATAAAAGTCATTGCGTAAGTCCACCGAGATCTGTGTCCCAGTTGGGATTACTGGTTGATCTCTGTGACAGAGGTACATTTACAGTTGGATCTGAGTAAGGAACACATCTTTTTATTTATTATTAATAATAATAATAACAGCTTTATTCCAAACGGTATTTGTGGTACAGGTATGGAATTTTCAGCGTGCATTACAGTATATTGCATCTAATTACTTTGCATCTATTACTTTTCATATACTTTCACTCCTTCTTCTGATGCCTTCTCCAATTTTTTTATCCCTGTGGCGGTCAAACCAAAACATGGCACCACTCAATGAAATCCACAGCAGTTAGTTTGAGTCACGTAGGAAGGTGTAGACTTCCTGGTTGGGGTCCTCGGGACGGAAACTATTGGTGATATGGCTCAAGATCCTCGTTCTCAATGGCTGGCGGAGATGCATCCACTCTTTGTGACCTATGATTTCCAATGAAAATATATTGTTCTTCGTTATTACTATTCCTTTGTCTCACACCTCTGTTTACTTTCTCTATTATGCATTTCTTCTGTTGCTTTGTGTCCTACAAAGAGGGAGTGTGGCGACTTTGCACATTGGTGCAAACTTCTATGTCGAAGAGAGACAGACAGACTGTGGATTGTATTATTTTGATGTTTTGTGTATCTATCTGCTTGTTGATAATGATAACAGCTTTATTCCAAAACAGTACTTGTGATACAGAATGGAATTCTCAGCATTTCACTACATACAGTATTGCATCCAGTTAGTACATTATCAATAAATTAAATTCCACATAGATTAAGCGTAATCTCAGTTCATTATGACAACAACATACTAGCATTTCGGTAGGAAAGCCAAAAATTGAACAGTGTTTGAAGGTGCTAGAAAAGTAGGTTCTAGGATATTTACTGGCGTAAGCAGAAGAAAGAAACAAAGCTGCACACAAAGGAAAACAGAGAGAGAAAAGGAAAAGAAAGAAAAAACGTTGTACCTATAAATGATATGAGTTGGAAAGACAAGATCCAGTTGTTCTACTGATTATTTAATAAGTTATAGGTATCACGCCTAATGCCTTCTTTATCGCACAGAACACGAGCTAAGTAGGGTATGGATGAGTTTTTGTACTTACTAGTGCGGGCATATAGTTTTCTATATAGGCTTCTGGTTTTGCCTGCCTGATGAGATACGAGGGTGGGGGGGGGAAGTGAATGAAGAGGGCATTGTGAGTTAGATAAAATGGATTTAACCCATTTCTCACATGAGTCCATGTGTCTGTCAACCAGAATATTAACAAGCTGGTTACGTGGCACGTAGCTTACCCTGCTGACAACCTTTAACATCCTGCGTAATAAGATATAGTCATTCTTCAGTAACCAGCCCTGGAAAAACTAAGGGGAAACAATAGAGAATAATAGGGAGAATGCGAGGGTTAATGAATTGTAGGAGTAAGGGTTGGTTATACCAGAATGTCTTAACTTCTTGATGTAGAAGGTAAGACGGAATATTTTCTTGGAAATCGTCAAGATATGAGACGACCAGGAAAGATCAGCAGATAGAATGACGCCAAGATATATAATTTCCGACTTGGTTTCTATTTCGGTGCCATCCATCTATGTTGCACACCTCGTGAGTTGTAACCAGTTTGTTTAGGTCAGATTTGTGCCTAAAGGAGAAAGTGACTGTTTGGCATTTGGAGGGGTTTAAGGTGAGACCGTTTTCCTTGGACCATTGGCTGATTTCTGATAAAATGCCATTTAGTTTAGAGCAGTCGCTTTGGCATTTGACAGGCAAAGATACAGTCATGTCGTCAGCATATTTGAGGAAATTAATGTCATTTGAAGATGGTAGGTCATGTAGAAAGAAAGAAAGAAAAGAGAAGTGGGGAAAGTACAGCACCTTGGGGGACACCAGCTTCATGTGATTACTTTCAACTACTGTATTACTTATATGTGTGTGGCTGATGGTCTACGTGGACCTTAAAGTCATGTGAACTCATTACTCAAATATTTCTTAATATTCCATTAATTACTGTTTACGGTTGTTTTTTTTAAATATTTCTTTTTTCTACACTTAGATGGTACATATGTGAAAAGTGAAGGAGTTAATTTTATGGCTCAATCTTCTACAGGTATAAGATCAGCAGGTATCCAGTCTATGACACGTAATCAAAATGGTTTCTATGTTTCTTCGATGCACCAAAATTCAGTGAGACGTGGTGGTGGTGGTCCTCTGAATGCCAGCACTGATATAACCTCAGTAGTAGCAACAACAATGTCAACTAATTTTGGACCTAGCCGTGCTGTGTTTTGTCCTCATTTGGGTTGTGGTAAAACATTTCGTGATACAGCTGCTATGCGTAAACACCTACATACACACGGGCCTCGTGTTCATATTTGTGCGGAATGCGGCAAAGCATTTGTCGAGTCAAGTAAATTGAAACGTCATCAACTTGTGCATACTGGTGAAAAACCTTATCAATGTGCATTTGATGTAAGTTCACAAAGTTTCTTTTTTGTTTGTAAATTATGGTGGGATAAGTAAGGCAAACACAAGTAAACATTCCCATTATTTCCTTTGGTGAAGGCTTACGGCAAGTTGTCATTTGAACTGGTGACAACTAGTGGTGTTCGTCAGCGAGGGATGCCCACTATCCCCATTTCTATTTAATTTCATCATAGATGGATGTACTAACTCACTTCAGAGACTCAGGTACTGACTTGTTACCATCAGGGAATAATCTCGCTGACTTAGAATATTCAGACGATATAGTCCTTCTAGGCGAGGACGCTGACAAAATAAAGCAGAGTCTTCTGAACACCTTGAGCTGCAATCTACTAATGTTTGCGATGCGATTCGCTCCCGCCGTGAAATACAAGATGATGTTACAGGACTGGACTACATCGACTCCTAGTTTAGAAATAGGGAGTGGAGTGGTAGAGCACGTTGACCGCTTCACTTATTTGGGAATTTGCATCAGCCAGTGCCAACTGGTTGATCTCTGACGAAATCTCAGCTAGGTACGGATACGGAGAGCTAGTTTCGCATATGCCAGTTTACGTCGTCTCTGGTATAAAAGTAATACCCAGCTGGCTGTCGACCGAAGGGCGTGTGTACTGCTCATCAGTCCACTCTGTCCTCCTTTATGGCTGCTGGTGAGCCTGGCCATTGAGAGTGGAAGACATGTGAAGACTAGCTGTCTGTCTTTGATCATAGGTGCCTGTGTTCTATCTCCCATGTGAAGTGGTATAATAAGGTGAGAAATATTTAGGTTAGGCCTCAGTCGAGTGCTAGGTAGGTGGGAGGGGAAATCAATCGACGAGGCTGTGAAACAGTTACATCGACTGAGATGGTTAGGACCTGTGTTACGCATGCCTTCCTAGTCACCGCCTTCCTCGGCGAGCAATGTTAGCGGATATAGGGTCAGTTTGGAAAAAAGCTAACGGCGGTCAAACAAAAACTTGGCACCACTCAATGAAATCTACAGCAGGTAGTCTAAGCCACGTAGGAAGGTGTAGACTTCCTGGCTGGGGTCCTCGGGACGGAAACTATTGGTAATATGGTTCAGAATCGTTCTCAGTTGCTTGAGCAGATGCATCCACTCCTTGTGACCTATGATTTCCATTATTATTATTGTATCCTTTAGTTCCTAGAGGAACATAGGGCTTCAGCTGCGCACCTCCATTGCCTTCTGTTTTCTGACAACTTTTTCACCCCTCTCCAAGTCTGTCCACATGCTTTCATCTCCTCCTCGCATGACCTCCTCCAAGTCACCCTTGGACGACCAACTCGCCGCCTCCCTTTCGGGTTCCACTCGAGGGCTTATCTAGTGATGTCACTTGATGGTTTCCTCAGAGTATGGCCAGCCAATCCATCTCCATTTCTTCCTGCCTATTTGTTTCACAATCGGTTCCTGATTGGTTCGCTCCCAGAGATCTTTGCTGCTGATCTTTTCTGGCCACCTGATCTTGAGTATTGAGCGAAGACAACTGTTAATGAGGGTCTGAAGTTTGTTTGAGATGCTCTTTATGACTCGCCAAGTCTCTGATCCGTATAATAAGTAGCACTGACTTTACATTGGAGTTGAAAATCCGGATGTAAAGTCAGTGCTACTGATTTCCAATGAAACCATATTGTTCTTCGTTATTACTATTCCTTTGTCTCACACATCTGTTTACTGTCTGTATTATGCATTTCTTCTGCTTTCTTCTGTTGCTTTGTGTGCTACAAGTAGATGGAGTGTGACGACTTTGCACATTAGTGCAAAGTTCTATGTCGAAAACAGACAGACATTTCCTTTGGTTACTAGAGGTTTAATATATGTCTTGTTGTTTCGGGATTATGAAGATCCCATGTATATTCAATGGTTTAGCTCAAATGCAGTGTTTCTTAATTCTAAGTGTTCTTATTTTATGTGCACAAATTGTTAATCAGACACACTGTTATCATTTTTTAAAAGGAATGTTAGTGTCACATTTCATATTTCATTTATTAGGAATTACTGGTCTTATCTGTTTATTGTAGAAGTCTATGTATTACAGTGTGTCGTTTATTTTAATCCTCTAAGTTGCAGAATTTGAGAACAACTGTGTCTATTGTTCTTTACACTAACTACAAGTAAAAAAGTATAACACACGTTGTTTTTAAAATATTTGACGTGTTCAACACACAACAAGATACAAGTTTTTTCATCCTATTCTCCCCCTTCAAATTCCATTTGTTGAATATTTCAGGGTTGTGGAAAACGCTTCTCCTTGGATTTCAATCTACGTACACATCTACGCATTCATACTGGAGATCGACCGTATCCTTGTCCCCAACCTGGCTGCAGTAAACGCTTCGCTCAGTCGACAAATCTAAAATCTCACTTAGCTACACATAGTAAAGTTAGAAATGCTCAGTCAGGTTTCACTAATCGACATCATTTAAGTCCTAATGCCAATAGTTCTGTTCTTCTGCGCACTCACTCACAACCTATGCCAATTTCAATGAATGGTTCCGTTTTACACTCTCAAGTGAATTTTCCCACTATAATTCCTATGGGATCAAAGGAAGTCAGTATTCGTAATCCAAATGGTAATAGTAGATTCAAGTCGAATTTGAGTTCTTTATTTCAAGAAGTTCGTCTAGATGGTTTTCGACTGCAGTAAGTATCCTTGTCATTGTTAATTTGATGTATGCGATTTGAAAGCAATATGTATGATTTCATTCTTTCTGATTTTTTGGTTGGTTGTTACATTTTATAAACTCAATGTACCCACAACAACAGGTTCAAAGTGCAGAATGCAAACCCTGGTGTAATAGTGTGAGCAGTATTGAGGTTAGGCTTCAGTCGAGTGTTAGGTAGGTGGGAAGGGAAATCAATCGATGAAGCTGTGAAGCTACATCGACTGAGATGATTAGGACATGTATGCGCATGCATGCCTTAGCCATCACCTTCCTCGACAACAGGCAATGTTAGCTGACATAGGATCAGGTTGGTTGAAAAAGAGCCAATGGTGGTCAAACCGAACACATGGCTTCATCAGTCAATGAAATCCACAACAGTTAGTTTAAGCTGGCCACGTAGGAAGGTGTAGACTTCCTGACTGGTTGGTTGGGGACCTCGGAAACCAATGGCTGGAAACAAACGGTGATATGGCTCAGAATAGTTCTCAATGCATAGCGCAGATGCATCCACTCCTTGTGACTTGTGATTTCCAGTGAAACTATATTGTTCTTCGTTATCACTATTCTTTTTGCCTGATATCTCTGTTTTTTGCCTCTATTTTGCATTTCTTTTTGCCTTCTGTTGCTTTGTGTGCTACAAGGAGGGAGCATAGCGACTCGAACTGCTGCACATTTGTGTAAAGTAGTTCTGTGTTGAAACCAGCCAGCCAGTCTAGTCTACCATTTTAGCTTGTATTATTGGATATTATTATCATGAGCTTTCGTTGATGCAGTTATATCTTATAGTTGAGTGTGTAAATAAATATACACTGGGTTGTTAATTTGCATATAAATACAAAGGGAAACTTGTGAAATGAGTAAAGAATAAGGTTGAGAAAAAACAAACAATATTATTACCTTGAATAAAGCAAAGAACATCAATAGCAGTTTGCGCAGAATAAGGTGTTACCATTGTATATTCCATAGGCTTCTTATCATCTGCGTACAACATGAATAAGTGCACTAAGTTTATGTACAGAACAATGTTAACATGTAAATGGTACATAATGTCAGTTGATAGGAGACTCGAAAGCGTCGGTGGCACAGCGGTTAGGACGCTCGCCGACCATGCACATGGTTTGAGGTTCGATCCCCGGCCGATGCACTCTTTTGTGCGTCGGTGGCACAGTGGTTAGGACTCTCGCCAACCATGCACATGGTCCTAGGTTCGATCCCCTGCCGACGCACGCCTAATATCTATGGTGGGCCTGCAAAATTTGGGCTACCGATATCCATGCTGAAAATTCCATACTTGTACCAAAAGTACAACGTGGAATCAAGCTGTAATCAAAATAAAAGTAAGAAAAATAAATAAACAAAGTGCTCAAAAATTGCCCTTATGCAACTTATACATACACAAAAGGTTCAAGTTTGAACAGGAGAGAGAAATAAATGTTTGGTGGCGTCGGTGGTACAGCGGTTAGAACGCTCGCCGACCATGCACGTGGTCCGGGGTTCGATCCCCGGCCGATGCACTCCTTTACCTCACTAAGCCAAGAATAATGCTGGTAAAGAAGAAAGGTTGGGCATGAGGCTAGCAACACCATCCTGTAAAATAAACACACACACACACACACAATGAACGAATGAATTAAAGCAACGAACTCTCATTGAAACTCAACGCGCGCTAGTAAAAATGATTCCAAGCAATATTGATCCCTCTAGCAACTTATTTCCTTCCTACCTTACTTTTATTTTTACACATAGTTTCCTGTATTTTACCTTTGCTAACCTTGGCTTCTTAACCTTCGACAGCCTTTCGCCTTTGTTGAGATTCCCAGCCTATCCGTGTCGTTTCGAGATGTTAGTGAGCAGTCCTCAAAATGGTTGTTCCCAATGTGACATCTAACACAGATATCCTGAAACCGCGTGCCGCGTTCAAGCTGGCTACCTACAATGTTCGGACGCTGATGCAAATCGGACAACAGGCAGGGTTGGTAAGAACTTTGGAAAGCCTCGCTATCGATGTCTGCTGCATTTCGGAGACCCGCATTCAAGATCTCAGTGAAGTGCTTCGATTATCCTCTCCATCTGGAAGTTCTAGTAGTATGTACCACCTGCGCTTATCCGGGGACCCTGTGGCGTCGGCATCCGGCGTAGCTGGTGTCGGTGTCGCACTGAGCGCTAGGGCCGAGGCTGCACTGCTCGACTGGATTCCCATTAACAGTCGTTTATGTGCTGTGAGGCTGGAAGGTTATACGAAAGAAAGGAGTAGTAGGCCAGATAGGCGGTGTCTATTTGTTGTCTCTGCCTATGCACCGACGGATTGCAGCCCGGATGCAATGAAGGATGAGTTCTACCACCAATTTAGCGATCTTTTGAAACAGGCGGGTCGGAGGGATATCGTAATGCTGGCTGGGGACTTGAATGCACAGGTCGGGCGTCTAAGCTCAGAGGAGAATCGTCTAGGTGGTCAGTGGGGACTACATGGTCGCAGGTCAGATAATGGGGACCGTCTTCTGCAGCTTTGCGCGGATCACAACCTATTTCTAGCCAGCACCAACTTCCGGCACAGCCATCGCCGTAGCGCTACCTGGCGTCCTCCCTCTGCGAAGCAAGCTTGGACTCAGATTGATCATATTTCTGTCAGTTTCCGGTGGCGAGGATGCATACAAGACTGTCGCTCCTTCTTGAGCACATGCCTGGACTCCGATCATGCGTTAGTGTGTGCCAAGTTCGTCTTGCGATTTGGTGGGGTTCGTAAAAGCCGTCGTCTAAGCGTTGATGTGAGCAAACTAGTAGCACCTGCTACTTCTTTGAAATATCAGAATGAGTTAAAAACAATGCTTGCCAGCAACCCCCCAAGTAGTATAGATGAACATTGGCTTCATGTGCAAGGTGCCATGCAAAAGGCGAGTGTAGCCGCTTGCGGCTTGAAAGAATGCTTTGCTAACAACCACTGGGTTTCTGCGAGTTCCTTGAAACTCCTGGATGAATGCCAGTCCATTCCGGCTGGCAGCGAATACAACAATCAGCGAAAGGCGCTCACGCGCAAGATTAGACAGTGTTTACGTAAGGACCGTGAAGCCTGGTGGTCAGAACGTGCGTGTGAGATGGAGTCAGCTGCTGCATCTGGCAACAGTCGGAAGCTGTTCCAACTCATACGAGCCACCGGCAGGAAGAAACAAGGTGTCAGCGAGACGGTCTGTGAGGCAGATGGCACTCCAATTACCAGCCTGAAAAGACGCCTGGAACGCTGGGCAGAGCACTTTGGGAAGCAGTTCAGCTGGCCACCAGCTTCAGTGTCTGCTATCATTAGCCGGTGAAGTTAAACTTTCGACACCACTAACTTCCAATCAGCGAATTATCCAATGAGATTCACGAAGGATGTCGAATTATCCAATGAGGTTCACGAACGCAGTTCAATGTTGTATAGCGCTTGATTCATTTCTAATGCGTGACCTTACAAGGCTATTGTTGCGATTCGAGGAGGTTAGTGTTTTCCAGTATTTCCTGGATTTGAGTTACTGCGGAAAGAGCGAATTTGTCTATGTGGTGGTATCATGACTTTAAAAGGCTATACCAAATCAACTGATGGGTTTGTTCATCGTTGTGCTATATGTTTGAAGCCTACTAACACTAGAGAGGGTAAGCTGGTAATTTTAATATTTCGTAGGAACTTTTTTCGCTAGGTCGCTTCTCTCCCTAACCCAGACTTTGTATATCTGCATCTAATGGGTGTTGAAACAGGGTGTGAGAGCAGCAGGGTAATAGGTTTGTATGACACCTCCCTCCGAAAGGGATTCGTCGAAAGGATAGCAGATAGAAAAGCAACTACTCTCATATCTATTATTACCAGACTTGTCAAGCGGGGGTCAATTATACACACGGACAAGTGGAAAGGCTACAATTCGCTGTCATCTCTGGGATATATTCATCATAGAGTCAACCATTCAAGTGATTTTGTGGACCCCATTACGAGGACACATACAGATTCTATTGAAGGATTTTGGGGCAGGTTGAAAAATAGGATAAGAGCTATAAATGGATCTCATTTATAGTCATTTGGATGAATATATGTACAGGATATGGTGTAACTTCTCCATTGACAGTCCCATGCTAAACTGGAAGGTGTTTCTCTCACATGTTCGAGAAAGATATCCCATGTAACTTTTTTATTCTCTATTTTATGCTTTTTTTTCTATAAATATACATTTCCATCCACCATATATGCCTCTTTGGTCCATTCAAGGTCGTTTGCTGATTGGTTGTTAGTGGTGCCTAAAGTTTAACTTTGCCCATTAGCCCGAGTGCTCCTTGGTCGGTTAGTACCGACCCACCCACCGAAGCGGAGGGCCGTAAGGAACTCCAAGTTCTGAAATGCCATAAGGCGCCCGGCCCAGACAAATTATCCCCGGCTCTTTTTAAAGATGGTGGCGAGACTCTAACTGGGTTGTTCAAGAAGGTGTGGGAGACAGAGAGCGTACCATCAATGTGGAATGAAGCCATTATCGTCCCCATCTTTAAAAAGGGTCGACGTAATTCGTGTGACAACCATAGGGGTATCAGTCTGTTACCAGTCGCGTCTAAAATATTGGCTTCTGTCTTGCTTCTCAGACTGTGCAAAATACGTGAAGGATTGATTCGCGAAGAGCAGGCTGGGTTTCGTTCAGGTCGTGGATGTATTGATCATGTGTTTACCCTTCGTCAGTTGTTGGAACACCGCCACACGTATTGCAGGCCAACGATCGTTGTGTTTCTTGATATTAGGGCTGCCTTCGATTCGTTGGACAGAACTGTGCTCTGGAACTGTCTGTTAGAGAGAGGTGTACCTGAGAAATTTGTTAACATCTTGAAAACCTTATACAGCAACACCTCAGGTAGATTGAGGGCATACAACCAACTATCACCACCGTTCCCAACCAACAGTGGGGTTAGACAGGGTTGCCCAATCTCTCCATTTCTCTTTAACTTTGCCATCGATGACATTCTGGAGTCAGCTCTGAAGGATGTGCGTGAAGGTGGTGTAGATCTGCTACCTGGAGATAGACTTTTCGACCTCGGGTATGCAGACGATATCGTCTCACTGTGCGATAGCATGCAGGCTGCCCAAATCGCACTTAATCAGTTGGCGATCAGTGTCTGTAAGTATAGTATGTGCTTTGCGCCGTCTAAGTGCAAAGTACTGTTAGAAGATTGGCAGGAGTCTGTGCCTGCACTCACTCTTGCGGGTGAACCGCTTGAAGTTGTTGATAAGTTTGTGTACCTGGGTAGTTGTGTGAGTGCTGGCGGAGGGGTGACGGATGAGATTTCCAACCGTTTAATGAAGGCTAGGGTGGCATACATCAACTTGAGCCACCTCTGGCGCCGTCGCGACGTTAGCCTGGCTGTCAGAGGTCGGGTATACAATGCTTCGGTGCGGGCTGCGCTGCTCTACGCCTGTGAAACCTGGCCTCTCCGAGTAGGCTGAGAATGTTCGGCGACTCTGCGTGTTCGATCACCGCTGTCTCTGCAGGATTGCTTGCGTTCGATGGCATCATCGCTTGAGTAATTCCGAGGTTCGGCGGCGTGTGTTTGAACACAGTGGAGATCACCATTCGTTGAATGTCGTCATCTGGAAACACCGGCTCCGGTGGCTTGGACATGTACTGCGAATGTCACCCCAGAGGCTTCCGTACAGGTCTTTGTTCGCTAGCCAGCCCTGGGACGAGATGGAAAAGGCGGAGCGGTGGTCAGTCCATGACGTGACGTCGTGGGATGAAGGGTGTTTGTGCTAGATTAGCATTGGTTGGTGAGTCACGACTCCGTGGTTGGGGTCCGCGAGATAACTCAAATCGATGGCTCGAAACGTTACCGAATATGGCTAAGAATCGTAATCAATGATGAACGTGTTGCAATTTCCTTCTTTCTTCCCTTCCTGATGATAGTTAACGAACACTGTTTGAACTTGTTAAGCATGAGTGTTTTCCTTCCAGATGAAGTTTTTTTTCCGTTCTCTACTTATATATATATCTTTCCCTTCCTTCCTTTTCTTTTCTTTTTGATCTATGTTGTTTTATTATTATTGTGTGGTGCATCTTTCTTGGTGCCATATTGTACCAAGTTTTTTTTATGTGTTTAAATAAATAAATAAAATAAACACTGCTAAAGAAACTTCAAGCCCCTAGCTTGAAGTCCTATGTTCCACTGGGAAACGTGAAGGAACAAAAAACATCCTTGTGAGTTAGTTTCTTCTTTGAGAGCTCTCTGAGTACATTTGCGATGCGCTTTTCAGCTGAATCTGTCTTATTTTGCGATTTTCCACCTCAAACCTCAATGAGTCATTTAAAATAGATTCCGTCTTTGCAATATTGTCTTCTTTGTTGTCCATCAACACCATTCCCGATCCCTTGTCGAGGTCGCAATATCACGATTCTATCATTAATTTGTGAGATCTTCCAGTGCTCTTTGGCGTTCTTCAGAAAGGAGTTTGGAATATGACTTTGATGAAGTGAGGTATTGTTTTCCAATGCTGACAAGCTTCAATTTCAGCAAGCTTCTTCTTCGCCTCATCCTTTAGACTAAGGCCATTCAGTTGTAAGAATAAATTCAGTTGATGAAGCGAAGAAGAGCTGGTGTGCACATGGACTGAACTGAACTACGTCAACTCCTAGCTTAGTGATAGGGAGTGAAGTGATAGAACATGTTGACCACTTCACCTATTTGGGAAGTTGTATCAGCACCAACGGACTGATTGGCGACGAAATCTCACCACGGATCCAAAAAACTCGAGCTGCTTTCGCTGACTTACACCATCTCTGGCGTAGGCATGACATCCGGCTATCAACCAAGGGACGTGTGTACTGCTCATCAGTTCGCTCCGTCCTTCTCTATGGCTCTGAAACATGGCCAATACGCGTTGAAGACATGAAAAGGTTGACTGCTTTCGATCATAGATGTCTGCGATCTCTTTCTCGCGTTGTGTGGTATAATAAGGTAAGTAATGTAGACGTTAGGCGTAGAGTGTTGGGCAAAGAGGGAAAATCAATCGACGAGACTATAAAGTTACATAGATTGAGATGACTAGGTCAGGTGCTGCGCATGCCTAACCACCGCCTCCCCCGACGGGCAATACTAGCTGATATAGGTGCAGGTTGGAAAAGAGTAAGTTGTGGCCAAACAAAAACATGGCCTCATCAATCCATGGAATCCTTGACAGTTAAACTGAGTCAGGTAGTGAGATGGAGACTTCCGGGTTTGGGCCCTCGGGAGTCTAGGAATCAATGGCTGAAGACAATAGGTGACATGGCTCAAAATCGTTGTCAATGGCCAGCGCAGATGTATTCAGTCTCTGTAATCTTTCATATTTCTTTCTACCATTACCCATTCTGTTTCGCTCTTATACCTGTCAAACTCTATTGATTCTCTTCACTCATCTTTTTGTCTACCTTTGTTTGCTATTTGGAAGGTGGCAACTCGAAGTTCTGCACTTCGGTGCCAAGTTCCATGTTGAATCCAGACAGAGACAGACATGTAAACTGGTTGACGTTGCAAAGCAATACCTCGCTTCATCAACACTATATCCCATTGTTTTTCAATCATTTATTTTTTTTCTTACCTTGAACCTTGTGTGTGTGTGTGTGTATAAAATGCATAAGGGCAATTTCTGAGCATTTTGTTAAGCTTTCGAGTCTCCTGTCAACTGACATTATGTAACATTTGCAAGTTAACATGTTAACATTGTTCTGTGCATAAACTTAATTCATTTACTCATGTTGTGTACGCAGATGTTAAAAAGCCCATGGAATACCTCTATTCTGCACGAACCGTTGTGTTTGCTTTACTAAATTTAATAAAGAAGGGATAATTGAATGAAATATTACTAACTGTGAAAAACCTGATAGGTAATACAAATGATGAACTTCGTGGGAAGATTGATGCAACTGTTGTTACTGATCTTCACGCCTGTCTCTTAAGTTACTCAGATTCGCTGTCAAAAGCCAATAAGGCTTCAACCATGAAACCTGCATACATAGTTGAGACTGTTATATAGATATACTGGCTAATAAGCAAAGGTCGCTGCACTTGTTTAATGAATATGTGATTAGATCGCTTAAAGCTTAAGATACGCTTGGAAGTTGATCCCTTATTTTGTTAATTATAGAGTTTTGAGGACACTCATTTTAGCCGTTTTTATTTAGTTTTACTAACAATGCACTGATAAGGATGTGCGAGCTACCTAGATTGGTGGCCACATTACAAACCTGACTGATAGAATTCAGTCTGCACCAGAGGAAGGACTAGACACATCACATTAGTTGCTAGTATCCAATCAAAGTATCCACTACAGTCCTACAGGAGGTCAATCGTATGGTAACGTCTCTGACTGCATTGGGTGGCTCGGGTTCAAATCTCAGAGGGGATATGAGTCCCTTGAAGGTTGTAGATACGCCTTACTGACTGACTGGTGAGTGCCAACTAGCACGAAACTTAGGTGAAGCAAGGCTTCCTGTGGCCAATTGCCTCCAACCATCTAATATCATCAAGGATGTGTTCGTCTAACTCGAACTTCTTTCTGTTTCAAAAGCGGCTAACTGAGATTTATCGTCCATAGATGATGCCTCTAGTTCCTTTAGACTGACTATGGTGCTTAAGACTGATTTCTAGATGGCGAAGATGGATGATGCTCGGTAAGGCTGTCCACATCATAGAAGTTATTATCATTATTATTAATTATTATTTTAACAATATAATTATTGTGTACGATTTACAAATTTGTTTATACCCTTTTCTTTTCTCTCACTCATTCACTCACACATACATCCAGTAACTCGTCACCACTGAACAGCGTCTCTATGCCTGTATCATCGTGCTCAGATCAATGTGAACCGACAGGTATAAGTCCTATGTCACCATTAGATTTAACATCTTCAACTGAATCGAATGGTTCCTCATTCTCTTCGCAAAATACTGCTGTAGTGAATACTATGTCATCATCAATGTCAGTTGTGTCAGCATCACAAATGCTGACTACACTAGACGGTAATCTAGAAGATTTCGATAATTCTACTGGCGGCAACATGCCGTTGTTTGACAACGCTTCTATGGAATCGTCTAGAAATGTTGACCATCAAATTGATATTGATATTAATAAAACTATGAAATGCTGTGAAGAATTTTCAAGTGATACACAAATCGATTATGATAGAGATAACTTTCAGATACCGCTTTGCATAAAACCAGAATCAGACAGTGTCAATACATCACCGATTATGCAAAAGTGTGTAACACCAAAGCGAGCAAGGAAATCCCTAAGTTTGCCTAAACGATCTGAATCCCCGGGCTGTGAAGACTTCTTTAAGACTGAAGAAGAAAATGTGACGTATTACAACAAGGATATCGACCATCGACCTGAGATGATAAATCGATTGTCCAATGGAAATGGTAGTAGTGGTAATCATCGGTTATCTAATAACAATAAACAACCTGTAGCTAAACCATCAATACATCATCAGCATGTATCAAAATCACCCAATAATAAATATCTGTGTAAAAAATCAGTTTTGCCACAGTCATCGGCATCATCAGTGATGACGACAACAACAGCAGCAGCAGCTGGAGGAGGAGTATGCGTCGTAACACCCTATGCTACTCGATCGAAATCTCGTGAATCGTTGAAAGCCTCATCTGGCTGTCATCGTGGTGATGGTGGTCGTCGTCGTGGTGGTGGAAAAAGTTTCAAATCATACAGAATTAAACATCGTTCCCATCTATAAGTTTAACATCTTTATAAATGTGTGTGTGTATATTGTGTTTGGTTCTCTACCTCTTTTGTTCTTTCTTTCGCTCGCTCTCTCATCCTCTCTCTTCGTTTGTCTTATACGCATAATGTTGTACACTTGAGGTTTATCTGTTGTTGTTGTTATCGTCTAGTCAGTCATTATTGCTCAGTGCGCATGCACTCAAAATTTAGTGCTAGCAGTAGCAGCTGGTGGTGGTGGTGGTGGTCATGTTCGTTTCGATTTTGTTTGTTCTATTGTTGTGTGTAAGTGTGTGTGTGTGTTTGTTTAAAAATAACTTCTTAACAGACCCGAGTCTAATTCAATTTCCATGACATTGAAGGTTCTATCTACACTGTCTGTCTGTTAACCTGTCATTCCTGGAGAGTTGATCTGAAAACCGTGTTGAATCACATTTGTTGTACATTTTTTTTCTCTCGTTATTGTTTCATTTCTTCTATATATAAAATCATGTATACTGTTCGTTGTTACTATTATTATTATTATCTTATATTACGGTGTATTAAAGTTTAACTGTGTAGTGCTGATTTTCTCTCATGTGTTTATTATCGTTTTGTTGAGCATTTTGTACTTTCATATACTTATCACCCCTGTGTGTCTGTGTGTGTAGGTGCGTGTTTGTGAATTAGGGATGGTTTGTTGGATTGAATTGAATTATAAACTTGTAAACACAATTAAAAATTTCAAAATTTATCATCCACTTCCTCTGTAAGGCAAGCATACACATTCTTATTTATTAATAAATTTTTCCTTCTACACTTATTGTGAATATTAAATCTTTGTCCTCACTAACTAACTAACTAACTGTTGTTTGCATTTATTACAACTTTGATATTGTGTCATCCCCTAGTGTGCAATAATTTCCCTAAATCGAAGATATATTGGAGAGTGAGTAAGCAAAGTATAAAGATAGTGGGTGTGTACGCTCATCACAACAGACACGCACACACACACACGCATACAAACACAGGCATACATACGTACATTTGTTCTTCATTGTGTACAATTCTACAAATTTTAAGTTTTGTTTTCCTATCTGTTTTCATTATAAACTGTGCAATACAAAGAAACATGACATGAAACTAATTCATAGTTAATAATCAGTATGGATGCACACACTGAGAGAAAGAGAAGAGAGGAGGGAAAATCATTCTTCAAATGTTGATGTTTTTTTTAAATTTTTGTTTCTGCGCTATTCTGGTCTTTGGGGGATGTGTATGTCTATATGTGTGTGTGTGTGTTGGTTTGCATTTGTGTTCATGCTTCACTGATATGAGTCTATAATACCTGGGAGTGTATTTATTCTCTCGCCGTTTTCCACTTTGTGTATTATCCTCCTATACGATACTATACTACTGGTATTATTATTATTATTGCTACTACTACTAATAGTAATGTTATTATTAATTAATTAATTACGAATATCCTGGGTAAAGGTTGTTTCAAGTATATTCATATTATTCACTACTACTAGTCCTATCATCAATAATAACATATACATATACAGGTGCGCATAATCAAGTTTGCTTATTGTATATCGCTGGTGTTTATTCTAGTCCTCCTACGTGTGAAATTCACCATACTGAAGATAAACATAGTAATAATGATACTCCAGTTAGAAATCGTACTAGTAGTTATGTTATATCCTGTTTGTGTGTGTTAACGTGTTGGGAACAGTATTATATACTTTTAATAGGAAGGAAGTATGCCAAAAAAGAAAATTATGTACACATCTCTTATTATTTCGCTCTTTGCCATTCATTACCATTAAATAACATCACTGCTCGTGTCTGCGTCAGCGTGTTATTTTCGGTGTCCTTGTTTATTATATTATATGCTCTCCGTGCGTTTATTGTTGAACAACACCCCTGGATATGTAGTTTTGTTTGTTCTGTGTGCGGATTCATCACCACACACACACACACACAAGCGTATCTAACAATGCATTTAACACTTTTATTATTATTTTTTATTCTACAGCTTTCGGTGTTCTCTTCCCTGCCTCCTTCCTTGTTTGTCTGTTTTTCCCCTTTCATGTCTGTCTCTTACACCATCTTTTATGTTATATCTCAATGCCTGCTTAACCCCATAGGGAGGTGTGTTATGCATTGTGAAAGGCATTTGATGAAGAAGAGACGATAGATAAGAAGATTATTTGTGATGTGTGTCTATATGTGATAAGGTTTCTACTTTACATTCTGCTTCTTCTTCTTCTTCTGCGTCTCCGCCTCTTTACTGAACTGTCGTGTGTGTGTGTGTGCTCCAGTGTCAATAAGTATTCATGATTTATATATATGACTCTCTTTCTTCCTTTCTCATTTTACCCTTCTATCTCTCTGTCTGTCTGTCTGTCTATCATTCTGTTGTCTTTGCTCCTCCTTTTTCTATGCTTGGTCTATTGGTGGTTATCACGTTGAGTACATTGTGTTTAGGTCTTGTTTACTTATTTTTACTTGCTTGTTATTTATTCTTTCAAAACATTTACAACGTTTATATCCAAAGTTCACTTGTCTATCTATCCATCGATCAGTCAGTCGATCAATCGATCAGTCAAATCAGACTATATTCGTTAACTCTTATTAAAAAATAAATAATGTAATTATATCATGAGATAGGGAGATTAACCCAGTCTCTTATATATCAGAAAATTAAAGAAAGAAACAAAGAAGAAGAAGAAAAAAGAGAAAAACCAACAGTTATATGCTTGTGTTTGTTTGATTGGTTGGTTAATTGGTTGATTCTTTACTTGTTTATATTACTATTATTATTATTATTATTATCGACCAGTTTATTCACATTTAATGAAAAAATATGAGAATATATTTAATTATGCTTCATAGTTTTCATTGCACTTTAGACTGCATGAAGGCCGTATATATACGTGTATATATATATATATATATTCTAAAGTGCATTTCTTCTCCGTCCTATCCTATGCACTCAGATGATTTGAAGCTACAAAGACAGATGGTTAGGACATGTGTTACGTATGCCAAGCCATCGCCTCCCTCGACGAGCAATGTTAGCGGATATAGGGTCAGGCTGGAAAAAAGCTAGCGGCGGTCAAACAAAAACTTGGCATCAGTCAATGAAATCCACAACAGTTGGTCTAAGCCATGTAGGAAGGTGTAGACTTCCAGGCTGGGGTCCTCGGGACGGTAAAAATCTATGGTTGGAAACAATTGGTGGCATGGCTCAAAATCGTTCTCAGTGGCTATCGCAGATGCATCCACTCCCTGTGACTTATGATCTCCAATGAAACTGTTTTGTTCTTCGTTATTACTCCTCCTTTGTCTCACACCTCTGCTCACTGTTTCTATTATGCTTTTCTTGTACTTTCTTCTCTTGCTTCGCATGCTACACGGATTGTGGCGACTTGAACTTCCGCACATTTGTGCAAAGTTCTATGTCGAAAACAGACAGACAGACTCACCAACAGGGTTAGAACCCAAGATCTTCTGGTTACAAGGCTAGCGAACTCGTAGACCATTCATCAGCCACTGGGGCTCGATGTATCCAATGGGCAGTCAGTCCATGAATTCTAACTTCTGCTGATTCACGGTATAGCGCAACCGCTAGCCAATGACTTCAGTGGCGAGTATTTGTCCTCACACCTGACCTGCTGCTGCTGCACCCCTACTGGTCACGACATTTATTTTATAACATATCTTCATGTCTATAGAATTCCGTGTAAAGTTGAATTATTGAGGTATTTTACAGCCTTTTAGGTAGGTAGGTAGGTAGGTTGCAGGAAAGCATTTGATCTGGAACAGGATTGATTCGGATCAAATAGCCTGTCAAATGTAGACTAATGTGTGTCAGATATATTGATACTTTGGAATTTACACAACTCAAGGGTGAAATTTCACCCCAGTTTTTTTTGCAAACTGTTTGATACTGTAAATGACAGTCAGAGAAGGCAAGCATAGATGCATAACTCTGTGTATACATGTAACAGCAGAAGACAAGGGCCAGGCAACAGATCGTTTTTTAAGGAAATCACCACGTATTTATATATTTTTCATGTACATTATTATAGCTTATTCAAGCAGACAAACACAGTCTTCTGATTGGTTGTTTCTTGCTCAAAGTTATCCTGCACTGCTTATGACCGGTTTCTCATAAAGTTAAGCCAAATATCTGCGAATCGTATTTGCCCACGTTAAGTCTGTTGTGATTGGTTGTTGAATCAGTCTTGTTCATATTTTCTCACGGCTAATATTAGCGACATAGACATTGACGTAAATCAATGTCTACCAATTAGCTAGCAGCCTGCTCTCACCACATATATACCACTGATTGATACCAAGCATCACTGAAATCATAACACGATATTTTATTTAAGTCAATCCATAAGTGCAACGATCGATTGTTTAGAACTGAAAAGTACGGGATATAAGGCTAAGTGTAATTTATCATTGACAGTTTTTTTAATTTAAGAATGCTACCCTACCCCACCTCTCTTCAATTTTATGGGTATTATTGTTTATCGAAGAGTATTCAGTTGGTTATAGAGATAATGAATTTCTATATTTATTTTATAAGTTGAGGTTAAGTTAAGGATGTTATGAATCATCACGTGCTAAGGAAATTTAGAGTTGTCATCTGAAGTGATGACAACTAGTGGTGTCTGTCAGCGAGGGATGCCTACTGTCACCATTCCTATTGAATTTCATCATAGATGCACTGATGGAGTTAACCCTAACTGACTTTAGCTGCTTGAAAATTGACTGGTTACCAATAGGGAATAATCGCGTTGACTTAGAATATGCGGATGATATTAGTCGCCCTATTAGGTAAGGGGAAGACGCTTACAAAGCACAGCAGAGTCTTCTAAACACGTAGAGGAGCAGTCAGTACTCTTCGAACGTTTGGCATGAGATTCGTGCGCTCCTGTTGTGAAATGTAAGATGATGAGGCTACATGACTGGAATACATCGACTCACTCCTAGCTTAAAGATAGACAGGAGTGAAGTGGTTTTTGGAGAATGTTAACCACTTCACTTTTATGGGGAGTTGCATCAGCCAGCTCCAGTGGGTTGATCGCTGACGAAACCTGAGTGTGGTTACAGAAGACTCGTTTGGTATTTGCAATTTTACGCCGTCTCTCGCTTAGTAGATGTGATATCTGACTGGCTGTCGAAGAAAGGACATGTATGTCTGATGCTTAGCAGCAGTTCTCTCCGTCCTTCTTCTAGGGGTGTGAGCGAGAGATGGCCATTTAAAGTAGAGGACATGAAAAGGCTAGTTGGCTGTCTTTGGTTATAGGTACCTGTGTCGTACCTCCCCTGTCAGGTGCTAGGCGTAATAGGGTGAGTAATATTGAGGTTAGGCATCAGTCGAGTGGTAGGTAAGGAGGGAGGGAAAACCAATCAACGAGGTTGTGAAGCAGCTGCATCGATTGTGTTACATGGTTAGGCCATGTGTTACGCGTGCACCCTTAGCCATCGCCTTCCTCGGCGGACAATCCTAGCTGACTGACGTAGGATCAGGCTGGAAAAGAGCTGCTAGTGTTGGTGAAGCCAGAACACGTCATCAGTCAGTGAAGTTAGTTTAACCCAGCCAGCCATGCAAGGAGATATAGGTTTCCTGGGTCCTCGGGATCGTAAGAACCAATGAAAACAATTGGTGTTATGGCTCGAAATACTCGTTGTCAATAGCTGGCGCAGATGCATTCACTCTTGGTGATTTGTCAAATCCATCCAGTATGACTATGAGTATATCTGGCGGCCTTTTCGAATTTTTGGGCCAGCTATTATAATATCTACATATTGCATCCAATCTACCGTTTACTCACATTTATTTATCACCTAAATATGAATTCATTTGCTCTTGTAAATTGATTATTCATTTACGACAAATGACTTTCAGATTCCCAAGAAATCAAGGAGGAAGCATCGTTGTGATTGTCAGAGAGCTTTCAAATGTATACCATTAAACTTAACTACTGTCCCTGTCATAATGAACACGAACTGCCGCTCTCTGCCTAACAAGATAATGCACCCACAACCTCTGATGTCCACTGAAATTTATCATAATACTGCCATAATCACATTACAAGAAACGTGGTTACATGAATTGTATGATGACAAACTTATCTCACTAAAGGACTTCGCATTATTTAGACAAGACCGTCACTGTTGTAACAAGGAAAATGGTGGTGGCGTTGTAACCTTTATTCACTTCAAATGGTCTATTTCAAATAATATTTACTTCTCATTCTCAAATAACTTCATAGACTGTATTACTGTCAAATGTCGTCCCAAACATTTCCCCAAATATAAACATACCTTTCTTACAAACATGTACATTTCCCCTAGTTGCTCACCACATGATCTATCTAATTTTGCTGACGAATTCACCATGTTTGCCGCTGCCAACTTCGACAACTCTATCTGTTATAAGTGGGGATTTCAACTCCTCAGATTACTCCTTCCTTAAAGTAATACAGTAGTTGTAAGTAATCACATGAAGCTGGTGTCCTCCAAGGTGCTGTACTCTCCCCACTTCTCTTTTCTTTCTTTCTTTCTTTCTACATGACCTACCATCTTCAAATGACATTAATTTCCTCAAATATGCTGACGACATGACTGTATCTTTGCCTGTCAAATGTCAAAGTTACTGCTCTAAACTAAGTGGCTTTTAATCAGAAATCAGCCAATGGTCCAAAGAAAACGGTCCTACCTTAAACCCCTCCAAATGTCAAACAGTCACTTTCTCCTTTAGGCACAAATCTGACCTAAACAAACTGGTTACAACTCACGAGGTGTGCAACATAGATGGATGGAACTGAAATAGAAACCAAGTCGGAAATTAAACACCTAGGTGTCATTCTATATGATGATCTTTCCTGGTCGTCTCATATCTTGACGATTTCTAAGAAAATATTCCGTCTTACCTTCTACATCAAGAAGTTAAGACATTCTGGTATAACCCAACCCTTACTCCTACAATTCATTAACCCTCGCATTCTCCCTAGTATTCTCTATTGTTTCCTCTTAGTTTTTCCAGGGCTGGTTACTGAAGAATGACTATATCTTATTACGCAGGATGTTAGAGGTTGTCAGCAGGGTAAGCTACGTGCCACGTAACCAGCTTGTTAATATTCTGGTTGACAGACACATGGACTCATGTGAGAAATGGGCTAAATCCATTTTATCTAACTCACAATACCCTCTTCATTCACTCCCCCCCCACCCTTGTATCTCATCAGGCAGGCAAAACCAGAAGCCTATATAGAAAAGTATATGCCCGCACTAGTAAGTACAAAAACTCATCCATACCCTACTTAGCTCGTGTTCTGTACGATAAAGAAGGCATTAGGCGTGATACCTATAACTTATTAAATAGTCAGTAGAACAACTGAATGTTCATACGCTATTTGGTCCGATTGGATACTGGATCCCATGTACCCTAAGGTAACTGCTTTTAGTTTAACCGCTATCCAAACAACCTTCCTGACATGGTAGGACCTGCAGGGACAGAGTCCCAGTCAGTTTAGCATGTTGGGTCATTACGGTATTCAAGCCCGACCACTTCGACAAGGTAGCAGTTATCCACCGGGGACACGAATGAAGATGTCAACTCAGGCGGGAATCGGAAAGGCAAGACAAGATGCGCTTTCAACAACCTGGAACCAATTTT